GAATGAATATCTAACTTTTCCATCGCAGGCTTCAACGCAACGCCAGTATAATATTTGAATTATTTGAATTGTAGTATGAACTAGGAATCCCAGAATTAACGCAATTGAATCAAGAACTACGACACAAGCACAAACGAATGTATTGTATTTGGGATTCGAAATCGAGCATTACACAAGTACAATAGAATCATTAGTTAATTCAAACACCACACAATTTTCTGAAAGAACATAGATTTGCGAATCTCACGACTTGCATTGATTTCTCTCAGTCCATGTCGTCTCATGACATCTGTATGCACTGTCACCAATTTTAGCCTTGGCGTTGGGGCATATCAAATTAAAATAACAGAAAAGATCTTATACCAATAAGTCTAGAACTTCGACAAGACACTGTGAAGAACTCAAATTCCAAGTATGCAGTACGAGATTTTATTGGTTTATTATCGTATGTTCAAGCAACATAAAATATTTAACTGTACAATAAATGTGTCGGTTATTCACTACAGACATTCGTCAGAATGATCATGTTGTTTCCTGGACACTTCTCTATGATTAATTTCAGGCCCTCACAGGACTATTCTTTATCATCTTTATTGGTAGGTGAATGGCAATGAATTACATTCGCAGTAATCATTTTCTTCCTTGTTCGAGGGATGCTTCGATAATCTGTGTGTTTCTGATATATTCGTTGTCTTTGGAGTTGACAAACGGAGACAACTGAACAAAGAGAACCAGCATAGATATATCTTTCTATATCAATCTAAATAAATGAATTAACTAGTATGTTTAGTAGTAATCAACAATTAGATTATAATTGGGTTGACGGAGATAACTGGGCTGGAATGATGATAGTATTAGATAAATACCATAGACAGAACTCTTCGTATTTGACTTAAATTCACATTGACACTGACACTTGGAACCTTTATGATCTGTTCTATAATGGAGGTAAAACTGTCAATAAAAATTCAACAGATATATTGTATTGAAATATATCCAAAGCTGCCCTAGGCTGGTTTATTTGTATGATACTGAAGTGAATATAAACTGTCCTGTGTCAATTAGACAGCATGTCTCAAACGATAACACATCTTTAAACAACAGAGTACGATCAACAAATAGATAGATAGGCCGTTTACCGTCATAACTTCTTTAAGTAGATACTTTTCAGTCTTATGTCATCCCTTTTACTTTAGTAACTCTAAATACGTTTACCTGGTGCAGGTTTTCGTTTCGACAAGTTCAATGAGTCGTTTAACCGATGAACATTGTGAATACCCTGGACAAACACTTCATGATAACTCCACCTGTAGCTCTTCTAGGGTTACTACCGGTCCCAAGCCTAGGTTAAGGAGGAGGGTTGGGCATGGAGTTAGCGAGCCCATCCCGTAGAAAACTAACTCGCTAAAAAATGATTACCAGAAAAATAATTCAAACCATTTAAACTCTCCCCTGGGAGTTAGAAGGTCTTCATTTAGAAGAACTATGATTCCTCATGGTGTAAGCCGAGTTCCCTGGGAAGCCACGAAGCCGATGCCACTTCTAACAACCAGGGTAACAATTTTTATAGGTACATAAAACATCCGAACAGTGTGGGAGACCGGGAAGACCAGTCAAATAGTAACGGAAATGAGGAGAAACAACTTGGATCGACTGAAAGAAGAAGACACTACTATGTAGGACAAGTGAAAAGGTACCAAAAAAGCACTAACTTCAACGTGACAGGAGGTTCTGGGCCTCAAGAAGCATCATCATAAGGAATGGATCTCAATAGAAACACTGGACAGGATCAAAGAAAAGAAGAACAAGAAGACAGCAAATGACAACAGCCGAACACGAACAGAGTAAGTCCAAGCACAAGTTGAATACATAGAAGCAAACCAGCAAGTGAAAAAGAGCATTAGAGCCTACAGGAAGGAATACGTGGAAGAACCAGCAACAATGGCGGGAAAAGCTGCAAGAGAAGGAAATATGAAACAGCTCTCTGATAAAACGAAGAAACTAGCAGGGCAAACCAATCACTGAAATTCAACAACATCGGAACAGAGGCAGAGGCATTACAATAATGTCAGTAGCAGGGAAAGCCTTTAACAGGGTGTTGCTGAACCGGATGAAAGACGCAGTACACGCCCGACCTCGAGATCAACAAGCTGGATTCCGTAAGGATCGGTCGTGATCAGATCAAATTGCGACACTAAGGATCATTGTCGAACAACCAGTTGAATGAAAATCGTCACGGTACGTCAACTTCATCAATTATGAAAAGGCGTTTACAGTGTAGATAAGAGAACATTATGGAAACTACTTCGACACTACAGAGTTCCTGAGAAGATTGTCAACATTATCCGGAACTCATACGACGGACTACAATGCAAAGTCCTGCATGGAGGACAGCTGACAGATGCATTCCAAGTAAGGACCGAAGTCAGACAAGGCTGTCTACTCTCTCCCTTCCTTTTTCTTCTGGTGGTCGACTGGATTATGAAGACCTCGACATTTGAGGGAAAACACAGCATACAATGGACAGCTCAGAACTAATTAGACGATTTGGACTTCGCAGATGATCTAGCCCACCTATCACATACACACGAACAGATACAGATGAAGACAGCCAGTGTAGCGGCAGTCTCTGCATCAGTAGGTCTCAGCATATACAAAGGGAAAACCAAGGTCCTCAAATTCAAAGCGGAGAACAGCAATCCAATCACTCTTGATGGCGAAACTCTGGAAGATGTAGAATCCTTCACATACCTAGGAAGCATCATCGATGAACAAGGAGGTTCAGATGCAGACGTAAAGGCGAGGATCGGCAAAGCAAGAGCCGCATTTCTACAATTGAAGAACATATGGAACTCGAAACAACTTTCAACCAATATCAAAGTGAGAATCTTCAATACGAACGTCAAGGCAGTTCTACTGTATGGAGCTGAAACTTGGAGAACTACAACAACCACCATCAAGAAGGTACAAGTATTTATAAATAGCTGTCTTCGCAAGATACTCAACATCGATTGGCCGGATACCATCAGCAATAGCCTTCTGTGGGAGAGAACAAACCAGCTTCCAGTTAAAGAGGAAATTAGGAAAAGACGATAAAAATGGATAGGACAAACATTACGGAAATCATCAAACTGCATCACGAGGCAAGCCCTAACTTGGAATCCTGAAGGGAAGCGGAATAGAGGAATGTCAAAGAACATATTGTGTCGGATAATAGAAGCAGATATGAAAAGGATGAATTACACCTGGAAGGAACTGGAAATGATTGCGCATGGCAGGGTTGAATGGAGAATGTAGGTGGGCAGCCTATGCTCCTTCACGAGGAGTAACAAGCGTAAGGAAAACTTTATACTAAGAGTTAAGTTATGTGTTATTGAAGCACCGTTGAATGATCCACTTGCAACGTATGAGACCAAATAACAAATGAAATCGCTCGGTTAGGCAGTGACCTTTTATTTTCACTTGTTCTTTGACATACATCGTCTCTAAGACACTGACTTGTAAATGTTATGTCAATCTCTCTGTTTACATCGAGAACAACAACCTCTCGTACTTTCACATTCAGAACGACACTTTTCAGGTGTACTGACATCTGTATTTTCGTTTTGCGAAGTACATTTCGGTACTGACACATTATCTGAGAGCATTTTTACATTACCACTAGTTTCCTTAGCTGTTAGGAACCTTTTATTTCTATGGAAAGTTATCCAACAATAGATTAATTAATATTGAAAATCAGAAGGTGAACATTAAAAAATATCATATCAATACTTGTTTAGTTTTCAAGCTAATTTAAGTTTAGGGACATACGGTCCAAGTTCACCAAAGCTTTTCATCGATTCGGGAGTGGGAAGCTCTTTTATGTCGCAAAGTGATAAAAATATTTTTAACGTTCAAATATCTTGCTAATCAGTTTAGAGTACGGTTTTACTGGTGCACCAAGTTGCTTGATCCAATCTTTGTATGAACAAAGAATTGAAAGAAATCAGTCTTCCGTAATGTTTGAACCATTTACTCATCATGTAGTCGATGTCCTGAACAGCATTTTACTATCCAAAGTTTTTCTACTAGCTTAGAACTCTGCTTTATTTTCAGAACCAGATATAACGAAAAAGATTTAAGTGGATGCTCACTGAACCTCCAACAGTTGGAGCACAGGCATCTAAGAGGTGGTTTCCTAATGACATAAACCATCCTAAACACTTCTGTGCATCTCCTTAAATACCTACTTAAGTTTAGTCGCAACACCCAGAAACTAGGGATATAACACAGAAGAATAGATTGTAGGTACACCTTCCACTCCTTAAAATTAGTCAAATACCGGAATCACCTGATGGCTGAGATGGTACGAGTAACTCCCCGGGGCTCTTTTGAGAGAAAACTTGATATTTTCTCTGGATAGTATCTCGATAGAATTTGCTAATTTTATTTTCTCTTCTATCTTTAAGTGTGAATAGAGTCTTACCTGAAGGCATCGGTGGTCGATTGCCACGAAATACGGAACCCCACTATCCCAAAGCTCCTTCAATTTCGCACAGATACGTTTGAAACCCTACGATATGAATTTTTCTTACGAAGACATAGTGTACAACATATACCTAGTGCCATTTGTTGCTTCAAAGGTTTAATAGGTTATGCGATCGTCTCTTTCAAAATTCTGCACTTTTCAATCTGATTTTGTTTCAACCCGTTACATAGCAAATCAAGGCCATCTTCAGACGACTTCATAGGGTCCAGGTGTTTGACAAATGGTAGCTCGCTGTAGTTGGCTGCATTTTTGAATATCATTCAATCGAACATCTTTGGAGATGGTTCTAGGGGGCGATCTCGAGGAAGCTCTTTCGGTATTTGGAGAATTACGAAAAGGCCCCAAAGCTGAATACTATTTTAAATGGTCTGTTCTCAGCTTCGGTTGCTGTTTAACAATCCATCACATCATCAGCCCTTGGATATTCACACGATATAATAAGTTGTATCGAAATCTACCTCGGCCCCATAGGATGGAATGGGATTCACGGTAAGTCGTTGTAACTAGTATACCTAAGACCCACTAGCCTAGTCATATGTAATGTAATTACACAATTGCATATGGCTATTGTGTTTGTGTGCTTGGCCTTATTTTTCACTTCAAACCTTAGAAATATGTACCTTGTATGTTACTGAGTCTCGAGTTATTTAGAATCAGCCAGATTAGGTTTTAGAAGTGTTATAAAACTCATAATTCTTCACGAAAACCCAAATCACGAAATACTATTGCAGGTTATAGACCCATTCCTATCCCTCTTGGCAAGTACAAAGTAAGTTAAATAGTGAAATCACTTTATGTTAGGACTAAGCAACTAATTTAAAATTGTTTTTGTAAAACATAAATCTCCCCGTTATTCCTAGAAAAATATATGCAACGGTTAGTTGGTACCAGTCATCTTTGAAGTGGTTCTTTCATTTCAAAGCTTCGGTAACAGTATGCAGAGGCTTGTCACGGCCGCCTATATATCTTTGTCATCAGTATCCTAGGAAAAGCATTTACTTAACCTAATTCTTCAGGTGTCAGTCTCTTTAACGAGCAGTAGTCGATAGTACAGGATTAGGTTGGAAAAAATGTTTAGTACTCTCAAATCCAAATGCAACATCAATCAACGATGCTATTGACCGTTAATCTGAGGCAAGTAGGTAGGCGCAGACTACTTTGTCAGGGTTTGTGGAAAATCATCAATAATTGGAGACGTTCTATGACATAACTCAAAACTGCGTTTTTTAATCTTATCCATCTTGGATTCCATTATCTCTTTATACATACCTTCCAAATATCTTTTCAAATTATATTTCTTAGGTTCAACCACTTCTTTTTATTATATCTAATATATTATTTCTATTTCAGTACAGTACTGAGCGTTAGTTTGTTCTGCCCACTTTTCTTTAGTTCACCAGTTCATTTTTGGAAGTTTTAAGTATGTGTGTAATCAGATTGTGCACCGTTTTTAACTATCACTTGTTGAAATTGTTGTGATATGTACTGGTCTGCTTTTCGAACTCGGAATACACTATAGATTTCGTGCTTTATACATTCTGATGTTTTCTGATGTGAGATAATCAAAACCCAGTTCTAAAGAACATCGATTTATTATATTTCAAGTATAAATAATTTTAAACTATTTTTCTTCTTGGTTTCAGTGTAGTATCGTCAATACACGCGACTATTGTTAGCATTCTGTGTGTTACAGCGCTAGTTACCAATGCTGATCTGTGGTATAATCCAGCTATGTAAGTAATCTGTGTCGTTTACAGTTGTTTCGATTTTTTTTGTTTGGATTTGATAATTATTATTTACTGACGTTTAAAATTCGCTTAGGAAAGTTTACCGTATGGAGATAACTTGCACTTTTGCCTGTACTACAGTCTACTATTCTAAAATACAAAATCTGTTTAGCTCTCTCGTGTGAATATTTCGATTGACAAATAAATGTCACTTAATACACTTAAGTACATGGAATGCCACTTAGAGTTTCGTGCATTATATTGATGCCATGATTTCTGTTCTTGTTCATATTTAACAAGTCATCTTTTTCGCATCACTTCACGTCACTGGACTTGAGGATATGACTGCATTTAAAACTAGTTGCAAGACAAGAAGCACTTGTTTGCGGGAAATCTGCGTAAGAAACCTCAGTGTGTAAAAATTTAGCTAGCTTGTTACCATTAACTTGCTCGTTCACCGTTTTGCAGTAATACGATCGTTAAGGTTTTCTGAGTCTGTCCCTCACTGTTTGACGAATGATTATGTGCAAGATTGATTTTCCAAAGTCAATCAGCCGCGGCATCATGTTTTAAATCAAGTAACGTTTGGTGATTCTGACTTTATTAAAGTTCTATTCTACATACTGTGAACACAAGTATCTCGAAAACCTTCCTTACTTTCACCACAGCCTCCTGGTTTAGTGCTAGCGAAGGCAGATATACATAAACATACATCCTGTTACGAATGTGTGTTGGTTCAAGTTGCCATACCTGATTGGGACAACGTAAAAATAACAACAGAAATAGAAATGATGTACTAGATATAGTAAAAATGGTGTTTAAACCTTAGAAATATGGTTTGAAAAGATAATTGAAAGATATATATGAAGGGATAATAGAATCCAAGATCGATATGATTGAAAAATAGACAATTTTGAGCCATGTCATGTCACTCTCAACATTCATCTGTGATCAAAAACCTTCAATATACGAACATCTACTTTCATAAAAATTGTTTCACAGCCATAAAGTAGAATAGAGCGGACTGTTGCGCTATTTGTTTGGGAGACGGACGTCTCACCAACGCCACAGGTGATACTAGGTTACCATATACTAACTGGACTTTTGGAATCCATGTCATCAAAACTTCTAAAGTCAGAGTGAACAGTAATCATCTTCAGATTGACTTAATTGGTAAATCACATAAATTTGGAGACAATTGCTATCTCTAATGAATAAAATCATATATTATTAGTCTAAATGTTTACTTTCTAGATTGGTTGTTTGAAACTTGTACAACGTGCCATCAGTCTAACTTAAAATTTCACCCAACTTATTTGTTAGGCTAGATTGGTTAATAAATAGTCTCATCCCTGTATCTAAATGTGATTTTTGTTTCATTTTTCTGACATAGCTATTGTTAAGACATAACTACTTATTATTACTCCTCAATTATCAAACACTGTTAATTTATTAACGATTTTCCCCAGTTCGTTTATTAAATGTTTTCTTTAGACAATATACCTTATGTGATCTAATCACTTAGTTACTTTATTGCCATATATTTTACTATCGGCCGTACAATATCTACTTCTTTGGTTTATAGCTTAACAATTTCATCTTGCCTTTCTAGTGTGTAGGAAATTTTACCAATGCTTGTATGTATTAGGTTCTAAGTGACTAAATTAGCGGTCATGATGATAGTTATGACGAGAGGTTAGTTAGGAAGAAGCCAGAATTTACCCAAGTTACTCTTTTTGGTTTCGTATGTATGGTAAAACTGAGTGAAATAAAACAGTAGGAAATGGGGCAGATAAATATATTATTCACTTGTTCTTATCATCACAATACTTTTTACATGTATTTCCTTTCTCATATTCTCTTCAAAAGAAGTGTAGCTCATTCTGGTCTTATGGCACTATCGATTTCCATTGGTTACTTTTTATGTGGTAAGTTTGAAGTTTTATTTGAAGAATATCTTATAAGTAAATTTAATTTATGCTCTGCTGGAAAATGAGGCATATAAGTTTAACGGAGTGGGTGATAACCTTATCTCCATACCATATAGTAGGCTTAAATACTCATTATTAACGACCGATTTGAAGTTCAATTTGTTGGATTAAACTGTCATTATGTGACAAAATTGGGCGTTTCACATATGCATAAAATATCGAACACCCATACCTCTACACCACATCTGTTTTCATAACAAACGTTTTTCTAAAGACTGTCGGTATTCGTTTTGAGTATGCTATTAAGCCGATATCCTAAATCCTATTAATAGTTTTCCGCAACGTTAAAATTACTACAATAATGAGGATAATCCTCTAATTTCTATGCAAACTAATCAGGTCGCAGAGATAGTAACAGTATCAGAGATAACAGGAAAAATTAGGCACAGAAGATGACTCGAAGAGAAAATATAATTTAACGAAATAAAAACAAATGGTTTCTGAGAAATTTATAATTTCGATGAGGAAAAAGAATTTATGCAAACGATTTCGAGCCATGTCATTCAAGGTCTCCAACCATTGGTTACAATATTATGTGGACCCGAACCAGGTAGTCTACACTTGTTAAAATGGCTTGGTCCGATTGTCAATGACCTCATAGACTGATGCCATGTTTTGTTTTGGCCGCCCCTGGCTTTCTTCCAGCTTACTCCTGCACCAGAAAACATCGCTCGTCGAGGTAGATAGTGGTTAGGCATATGTAACACATGTCCCGACCACTTCAGGTAATGAAGACTTACTACCTGATTAATCAACTTCCCATCTTTACCCAGTACTCTCTTCCTAATCAAGGCATTGGTTACTCCATGGTCCTAAAATACATCAGCAATGCTTCGAAGACACCTATGGTCAAATACCATTAATCTACGAGCATTATCTACTCCAAATGATTATATTTGACATGTATAAAGTGGAGCTGAGTGAACTGCTGTACAGTGAACTCCCTTGGTTGGAAGATGGATATCTCTTCACTCCAGAAGTGACAAAGTTACCAAAAGCCAATCGAGCCTTCTTAATCTGTGCCGAGATTTTGTCAGACACCGGACTATCAGTAGTGATGAGACTCTCAAAATAAGTGAAACAGTCAATGCGTTTAACTACTTCACTCCTTATCACTAATTCAGGTGGTGACATAAGCCAATCCTGAAGTAACATCTTGCATTTGGATGGAGAGAGCCGGATTCCGAACATGCATGCATCGTTGGTTAATGTGGTCAGAAAACATTTCGTTTTCTCATCGTCTTCACTGAACAGAACTGTATCGTCTGTGTATTCTAAGCTAACAAGTGAATTCCTCGGTAGACCATTCCATGAAAGGTCAGACGATGAAAGCGTTGTCTCTAAAAGCATGTCTATGACAACGTTAAATATAAATGAAGCGAACAACCCTATCAAACACCAGTTGAATGAAACTGTTTCGATGACAGTTCGGCATAAGCTCTGTTTTGATTAGTAGTGTTCGAGTAAAAAGCCTGTACAAGGCTAGTTTACTTTAGTACGCACTACATTATCAAACACTTTCACAAAACCTGATCAATAGAGTCGAACACTGCCTCAAGGTCAAAAAATATAATTATAGTGGGACGTTGAAAAGTATGTCTATGTTCCAAAATCTGCCGAAAGGTGAATATTTGGCTAATACATCCACGTTCAGGTAAGAAACCAGCTTGATTTTCTGAATTTGCTCTTCACGAGCTGTAGTTATACGTTCAAGTATTATTGGGGCCACTACATTAGTTAAACTGATTTCTCTGTGATTATCATTAGAGGGTTTTTGTTCTCTCTTATAGACTGGGACGACCAATGATGAAGACCAGTCAGATGGGATCAAGTCCACCTCTCAGATTTTAGCTAAGACTGTTAATCTAGATGCTAGAACCACTATCCTTAAAAATCTCAGTAGTTAGTCCATCACATCCTGCTGCTCTCCTTCGTTTTACATTACTTGTGGCTTTTTCAACCTCACTAAGAGTTAGAGGACCTACATCAGTTTGCCATTCAGGTTGCTTGGAGATAGTGAATGAATAAAGTGTTGTTAAAGGTCACTTAAAATGTGCCCTTAAGTTTTCTGTCCATCGGTTCAATTCCCTGGATTAAGAGTGAATAATGGTCTTGTCTTTTTCCGTGATATTTTCTCGAATAGCCGGATTTTTAATACCCGTTCCCTTGATAAGTTTGAGCAATTATTAATTAGCTGATGTTACCTATCGTCGTTGCTTTTTCCATCTCTTCTAGTTTATCTACCCACCAATGCTCACAATCATTACATAGGCTTTTGATCAACCTATGTTTAAGCTGCCTCCGCTCCTCATTGTGTTTGGAGCCAGACGGGATGAGTTTCAGAGCATCTATCAGTTCTATAGATCTCCCTGAAATCTACTGATTTTTCCCAACCTTTTGATTTAAGTTACTAGCAAACACGACTGGTATTTCCATAGCTTTTTGGATATCATATTAAGGTACTTCGTGGTAGATATCATTTTCGCGATTGATTACCTCCTTATGCAGTTGATCCTGAAATATTATCCCAATGTTTTCACCAATAAGTTGAACCTGAAGTGATTTTCTTGTGGATTTCTTACGTTCTGTAAGATGCAGACAAATACATGCTTGAACTAGGGCATGATCCGAGTTCACTCACATGCTCCAAAATAAGCGAGTTTTCAGTCGAGCCCCTCCAACGATGGCTAATAGCAATATGACCTATTAAAGTCCATCGGTCAGTTGATTGTGAAGGTCGCGACGTCAGATGATGTTTGTCCTTATGTTTAAAGTTGGTGTTTGCCGGAAATGGATGGTTACCTGAGCATCGTTGCAACAGTCGCCATTATCTGTTCTCTGAGCCTCAACAATGTAAAACCCGCTTAAGTAAAAATTAAAATAACCTGCTATGATTACTGCATCAGAGAGTGTATTTTTTGAAGGAGGTTGGATGGTTTCCTATATAATTTATTTTTAGCTTCATTCGAGCTACTATCAGTGGGAGCGTAGGCTTAGTCAACGAAAAGGCAACGGCATGTGTCCCTATCTTTTCGACTTCATACTGTCTCGTTTAGTCGAACAGCACACGAGCGACCGTCTTTCGGAATCCAGTCTAACAGAGCCTGTTCTGCTTTTAGATTTAATATCATACGTACACCAGCGAAGCCGCAGGAAATTGGAGTGGGGTTTACAGAATGTTGAAGGTTAAATCCTGACAGTTCCTTGTATATTTACAAGGTGAGGTCAAATGTACTATATTTGGATCGCGTATGAGCGTTTCGAAGACGCAGCATACATTTATGGCACAAAATTCTAGAATCCTAGCTAAAGAATCCTATTGTGTACTCTGACACAACGTTCGAAAATTAAAAGCTCTAACTTGTAGTTTACAGCGTGGTTTAAGGAGACCAGGAATAACTTTTATAAAGTGGAATCCTTAGGATTGGTTGCGTGGTGATATATATATATATATATATATATATATATATATATATATATATATATGAGAAAGGTTAGTCGTATGGGAGAGACCAGTAGGGAATTTGATCGTAAATAAAATGACCCTGAGTACTGTTAGAGACACAAAGGCAGTCTCTACTTTCCGGTTACCCATGCCATGAAAAGAGACTGGGTTTAACGACCTGGAATGTGACCTCAGAACTTATGAGACAACTGCTTGAATCCGGTCACTCACGACCTTTTTATGGGAAGTTTTTGATATATCAGCTCCTCACTTACATATATTTTGTATATGAAGCGAATGAAACTGTGCAGAGCAAAATGACACGCACGGAAGATGGCTGGGAAGCCAACTCCATTTTAGTCGAGAATTACTCAATATTTATAATCAGACAAAGTAAAGCTACAGACATGTGATTAATGGGATAAGAAGGGCACACACATATACGCTCATATAAAAACAGTCTAGATTGACGAGCGAATAAATAACAAGGTCAAAGTATGCCTCAAGTAGAATGAACAGAATGGAATGTCCGTTAGCTAGAATAAGGTATATGGGCTTAATTTAATAACTGACACTGCAACAGTCATCGCCGATGTGCCACCTGGCGTCCACCCTCTGCATCTCAGGCATGAACTCAGGTTGATCACATCGCGATCAGCTACCGCTGGCGTGATTGTGTACAAGACTACCGCTCATTTTCGAGTACCTATCTCGACTCTGATCATGCTTTGGTCTGTGCCAATCTTACCTTACTTTTCAATGGACAACGAAGTGACCACCACCAACGGATTGATGTTAGCAAGTTGGTTGCAACTTCTGTTGCAAGTAAGTATCGAACTGACCTATTTTCTAGGCTAGCTGCCATTCCATCGAAAAGTATAGATGAGCATTGGTCGCAATTGCATGACGCCATGAAAATGGCAAGTAAATTCAGTTGCGAGTAAAGCCGCTTGCGGCTTCGCGAAAGGATTCGCTTATATGCACCGGGTTACTTCTGGTTCCTTACAACTCATTGAAGCCCATCGGTCTACTCCTGTTGACCGTGAGTTCGACCACAAACGAAGGATGTTACGTAATGAAATCGGGTAAAGCTTGCGTAAGGAGCGAGAAGCCTGGTGGTCGGAGCGTGCTAATGAGCTGGAAGCAGCAGCTGCATCTGGTGATTGCCGGAAGCTCTTTCAACTCATCCGAGCCACTGGCAGCAAGCAGACTAGTGTGAGCGAAACAATCTGTGAGAATGATGGGATGCCAATCACCAACATCCATCGACGTCTTGGACGATGGGCAAAATTTTTCGAAGGGCAGTTTCACTGGCCTGTTGCTCCGGCAACACCGGTCAGACTGTCCTGCCCTCCATGGCCGGTGACGACTGGTCCACCAAATGAGGCGGAAGTCCACAAGGAACTCCAACTCTTGAAGCGTTACAAATCACCTGGCCCAGATGACTTACCTCCGGCTCTTTTTAAAGATGGTGCTGATTTTCTGGCTAGGGAACTGACGACGTTGTTTACAAAGGTCTGGGGGATAGAGAGTGTACCAACGTCACGAAATGAGTCGATA